ACAAAAATCTGTACTCTACAGTCTATTCTGGTCTGCTGATTAAATTTGCTGGATTTTGTATTTTGCTTTGCTTTTTTTTCTGTGTTCTTCTTTCATATTCTGTATCTCTGACAGTCCTGACAGTTGTTGCAAACTTCAGATTTCTGCAGCCCTCAAGGACAGCTATTGAACTTTAGTGAGAAATTATATGTGGGTGTTTATTTGATTTATTTAGTCTGATACACGGGTAATGTTGTTTCCTATGCATGTTAAAAATGTCATTTGTAAGAAACTAACCCCCAAATCAATAATATTAACAACACAAACTATTCCTAGAATCATAATACCCTGTCTTCAAATAAACACCTTCAGAAACAGTTATCATATGTATTTTGTAAAGAAGCTGATGGCTGTGATCACAGAACTGGAAGTCATACACTTAGTCCCCCTCCCCCCCCCCCCCCCCCAACCCCCCTCCCAAAAAGCAAAAACACAAACAAAAAACAAACAAACAAAAAAAAACCAGCCTGAATATTAACATGTTTCTGCACAGAAATGTATTCTGACTTAGAGGCGTTCAGTCATAATCCCACAGATGGTAGCCTCGCTCCAGTGGCTCCTCAGCCAAGCACATACACCAAATGTCTGAACCTGCGGTTCCTCTCCTACTGAGCAGGATTACTAGCGCAACAACACATCATCAGTAGGATAAAACTAACCTGTCTCACGACGGTATGGCTACTTGCTATGAAACATGAATGTTATCTCCTACAACAGTTTTACTTTCATCTTTAATTGTTCACGTGAACAGAAAGCCATCTGTGAAAGTGCTACTATCAATAGAGGTGAGAATGCATAGAGTGATCTGAACAGCCTTTACTCACTGGACTGATGTGGAAAAACAGCACAGAGAAACTGGTGATTAGAATGTTTTTCTTCTTGTTGAAAACTCCCCAAGCATGAAAGAGAGTAATTGAAAAACAAGCAAGATGAGATCCCCTGAAGACATGTTCTTTTGTTTCTCACAGCAACAATCTTCTCCTGGATTTTTTTTTTTTTGTCACCTTATAGCCAAGTCTGAAAGCAGTTTCATGGTGTTCAGAAGACAAGCGTTTTTAATCTTCTTGTTTGCCTCAGTCCTGGAATTGTTCATTTTCCAAGTGTGTATTGTATTTTATACTTTTTCTATTTCTTTCTTATCTTGCTATTTATACTTATTTAGAAACAGCCTGGATTGAGAGCAGATTTAGTTTTGAATTACTAACTTCTCTCCTTGGATGCTGATCAATTATCAGTACCTTCACTATTTTGGAGGTAGTGACAAAGCTTCTGATTTTTATTTTCGTTTTTTTGGCAAAACATTTATAGTTTCTCCACTCTTTTGTTAGGTAGGTGAAATTACACAAATTGCATTTCCATGGCATTCCTTATTGTTTCAGGTATATCTGCATTAAGGAAATGTTACAGTGGATATGTATTCATTTTAGGTTTATTGGCTTTCAAGGGTAACATGAAGATTTTTTTTCTCAAAACTGCCAATACACATGAGCTTGAACCTCTGTTAATCTAAAGAAATTCACTCAATTTTTTAAAAATTTTATCTGCTCATTGTCATGAAGGCACGAACAAGTTGACATTCACTTTGATCTGTGCTCAGTATAACTTACTGAAAATTAATGAAGCTTTACCTGACAGCTGCAGAGTGGGAAATCAGTGTATTGCTAGGGAAAAATAGCAATTACAGTGTTTCAAAAATCAGATATTTCAGTAACTGTTGCAGAGTAAAAGTTTCATTGCAGGACAAGATAAACCAGCAAAAGGCATTGAAGCTATCTAGGTGGGAAGCTTGATATGGTAGGAGGATAATTGGGCTCGTTAGTACTTGAACAAAGAACCACAACATAATTCATTCAGACGGATCTTTATTAAGAACTGTACAAATCTCATTGGTTTTTTTTTGTTTTGTTTTGTTTTTTTTTTTTTGTATGCTAAGTTGACCGAAACCTAGAAGCCTACCACTAAAATCATCTCTGTAATAAACCTGTGCTTACAGGAGAACTAGAGAAATCTTTCATAGCATTAATGAAGTAAGTTTTGATGTGATCTTAATATGATGTGACAATCATGTACTTAGCAAAAGTACTCCTAGGAGATTGAGCTCTTCCTGCAGAATAAACTTTACTTAGTGCTTGTCATAATAGTAATATAAGGAGTTCTGAGACCTTTAGAGGAAGTAAGGTAGAGAAGGCATCAAATGTATCCTGAATACCTTTCTTCATTTTTTCCTAGTACGTTCTCAATTTGTTACGTATTTCAGTTTGAGGTGACTGCCATGTTCCTGGGCAAAGTGGGAATCAATCTCATTTTCCCAAATTATTCCTGAAAAACATTTTTATATAAATGTTATATAACTTTTTATAAAAAGTCTTACCTCTACCAATCACAACTCAGGTAGATGACTTAACATTCCTTTCCCACTTTTTCTTATCCATGTTATTTTTCACCTTTCTTCCATTTTCTATGCCTTTGTTTTATTTCAGTCTAATTTATATTGTAATTGTTTTAAATTACTGTTTTGTCACTTTCTTTTTGTTCTGTTGTCTTTATCCTGACTGTTCTTTGCCTCACGCATTTTTATTTTTGTCTTTTATAGACTTAGACTTAAGTAACTTAGGTCTGGCTGTCCTTGGTTAAGTGGAATTAGACTCATAGTTAAGCCCAATTCTAATTTCCACCTGGAACTGCCTCTTTATCATTTTACAGTGCAGAGCGCATACCTCCATCTGTCAAGTGAGGATGATGTCTTTTATCATGAATTTTGTGGTTCAATCATTATAGTTTTAAAGACATGCAGACTTCTCTTCTGAGTAGTAAATATTACTGAGTTTGCTGTTTCAATTTTACACTATAATCTTTTTTTAGAGCTGCTAGATTGTTTTCCTGCTTTGGTCTGATTAATTATTTTGGCAGACAGACTCTTCTGTCTAATTCTGAGTGCTTTTTTTTTGACATGGGAATTACTAGAGCTACTGACTGCATTCAGCTGCTCTTTGGTACCTCCTTTAGCTGTGTTTTTTCTTGTCTTGTGTATAAGATTAGTGCAATAGAAGGGGGAAAATAAATTCTTTTGTACTTTCTGGCTCCAATATAGTATCCAGTCAAAAAGACTTCCATTGTAGCATTGTTTGGTGTCATCCAGAAAAACAGGCTCAGTGGAATTGCAAAATGTGTCTCAAACAGAGAGGAGTCTAGCTCCATAGTGCAAAATAGAAAACAATGAATTTTCTACAGGTTGCTACAGATCACAACATGGCACTGTAGAAGGACGAAGGAACTGAGTGATTACATTTTTAAGGAGAAGTAATCAGGTATTTCTCATTAATAAATAACTCCACGTTGTTACATCCTAAAGTATTTGTTTTGATGTTACTTTGTGTGTATTTGCCTATAAGCAATTAAAATCAATATGAGTATCTGTTAGTGTCTGTGTGGTTATAAACCTGTTTATATGAGATTCTACTATCTGAGTCGCAGTCTCAAGGGACGAGAAGCCAGTGATTCAATTTCTGACTTGTTTGCCATTTCGTTTTTGATCAGGTTTCTCATCAGTATGAAAGGAATGGTTTTCACAGTTTAAAAAAAAAAAAAAGAGAATACACTATAGTAGTAAGTAGAATTTTTGTTTGTAACTTTACGTTCACCAGTAGATTTTTGTCACGTAGACTTTTTTGTTGCATGTTGTAAGTGATGGTGTCTTACATTTAATATTGCCCTACTCTTTCTTTTTTTGTAATTCAGGTCATGCTTTAACTCTCATTAACACTTCATCTTATACCTGCATACAATGTATATGGACACAGAATGAGTTTCTACCAGAATCTTCCTGACTGCAAAGATTTGAGTAAATGATTCACCCATTCATATATCTCTTTGATGCTTTTTTTAGCAAAACAAATTTGTTAGGAATTTGTCTAAAGATATATATATTTTTCTCTAGGTTTAGCTTTTTTATCCCTGTCTGAAAATCATGGTAAGATGCACTCCCACATTCCCCTGCATATATTGTAAAGGTACATATATACAAAAACTCTAATTTATTCCACGGGATAAAAGTGAATTCATCTTATGAGACTGATGCAAAGATGTAATTTTGTTCAGTTGCTCCTTCAAGACACTAAGACTCCCTAATTCCTCCAAAGACTAGAAAGTTCACAGCTTGGTGCAGTCTACCTTCCTAGGGAAAAGACATGTGACAAATTGCATTCTAACTGATGTGGTTTTTGATGCTCTTAACACAGAAATAGATTCTCATAGTCCTACTGTATATAAGTATTTAAGGGACTGCACTGCTACAAACTATTTTCTGAATTATTTCAGAAACAGTGCTGTGGAAATGGTTAAGACTGTTCTTTAACAACTGCTGAACTGTGAAGAAGAAAATATGAAGAACATCATCTTAGGGAATTTAAGTTGATGTAGTCAATCTTTTTCATTGCGTTTTTCCTGAAGTTTTATATCTGTCTTCATAAGTGTATTCACAGTCCCTCTTTTCTTGATTTTGATCAGGTCCTTTTTTCAGTATTACATTGTTTGATATTTATCAAACATACCAGAAATCTTCTTGTCTCTGAAAGGACTTCTTTTTCAGTGAGAAAAAGGAAACTGTTAGACAGAAAGTGGCAAGAAAATAATAAGAAATAATGGAAGTGTTGAAAAGAAAATGCTAAGCTCTTTATCAGCTGAGTTGCTACTTTTCTCGCACTTTGCAGTTATGCCAATTATGCAACCACAAACATAGCAGATCAGCCAGCCAAAATTAAATAGCTTTTTAATGAAAACATAAATTGTTTTCTAGTATTGTGTTCCGAAGACTGATTTTATTTGAAAATAGAATTTTTTGTTTGAAATTCTTGTGTTCCAATGAAAAACAATATTTTTCTGCTATATGTGCAAGGCAACTTTCTTTTTTACTTTTTTCCATTCACTTTTCTCTCCTGTCTCCTTTTAAAATAAATGCATAGGTATGGCCTTTTCTCCTTAAAACCCTGCAAGTCATGTGATTTTCATGGATACAAATAAAAGGTGGGTTTGTCTTAACTAATGGAATACTTTTAATATCAGTTTAATTAGAGAAAGAGGATAAGGTACACACAAGTTAACTTACCGTGCATCAGCTTGACTATGATAACTGAATTTCTGCATTCTTCAGATGTCATAAATCTTGAGTTAAGCCTACTTCAGGTTTAAACAAGATTAAGTAGCTTCTTAATACTATGGATTTGGAAAAGACAGGTTGCCTTAGTTTTGTTAAACTTGTGTCAAATTAATCATGTGTCTGAGTCTTTAGTAGTTTGAGATGTATTTTAAACTAAGCTTAACTACTCTCTATGCATACTTCAGATTAAAGCAGAATATAGATTCCTTAACGTCATTTGCATATATTTAACCTAATGGAAACTGAAATTAAACTAATATTAAAGCATTGTAAGAAAATCCAATTTTGCCATCCAGAACAAGGGTAAGATCAGTGTGTTGAATATTCCTGGTTCTAGGGGAAAATAATTTGAAGGAGAAATGCTGCATGTGCTCTAAGATTCATAAGAGGAGGGTAGACCCCCCCCTCCCCCTTGAGCTTAAAGGAGCCTAAAATTGATTTAGCAAACCAATTGTTTAACTGGAGCCTCAATAATGCAATTGAAAATCACAATTTGATTATCAACACAGGAAAAAAAAAATGTCAATAAGACATTAGGTTTTGGTCTTAATTACCTTCTTTGTGTACGGGTCAATGTATTCTATGTGTGCTCCGAGTGCTTTCTTAAAGGGCCTTAGTGTGGTATTTGAACACTTCTTTAATATATACTGATGTACTGGAAAAACAAATTAATGGCATACTTTCTATTTTTAGCAGCTGATTGTTAGTCTTGCAGAAAACTAGTGTTAGCTTAATCTTTTTCTACAATTGGTCAAAACAAAAGACTATCTCTCCTTTCCTATGTTGTCTCCTCTTCTGTCATGTCCATTTCTGTGTGGAAGCTGACACACCTATGTAGTTGTGCATATTAGTGGAAGAAATTCTTTAATCTTCTTCCTGGGGAAGGAGATGGGCTGTACTTAGTGTTCTATGCTAAGCATTTCTGAGTGTACTGTAGGCTGTTCCATCCTCATTATGTATGAAGCTGGGAGAAATTCACATTCACACTCAGCCTTCAGATTTGTCTAGCACATTTCATTTATGCTATTAGCAATTTGAAACCCTTTTGTTGTCTCATACTTCTTCCCAGTCATGGCTCATTATTGACCACTGTACTGATACAGTCCCTGAGTACCAACCATATTTGGTTTCCTAGCTATCGCACAAAATGGGCACAGATATTAATCAAATCTCCAGAATAAAAAGGTAAGCTCCCATTCAGAGGAAAAAATCTTTCCTTCTACATCTGTGTAAGTGGTTCGTAATTTATGTCAATTGACAAGTAATAGAAGGGGCAGGCAGCAATTTCCTTCCAGTGGTCCATGCAAGGGGAAGGCATGTTACCTGTTTGGAGCTCTAGTGGCGGGTACTATTGCTTCTCTTACCATCCCTAAAAATGCAACAGAACTGAAAGGGACCGTAGGAAGCTGTTAAACCTGAGGTTATTTTGAAATATTTCACTTGGTAACAGTAGTTACAAATTGTCAAATCAACTATATTTCATTATTCATTTTTCCTTCCTTTCTTCTTCTGTCCTGCCCTCCTAACCCTTCTACATGTAACATGCTCTGAATAATGATATTTATCCTTTTATTTGAACAAGGAATGAGGGAAGTTCAGATAGATAATAAAACACTTTTTTCTTTTTCTTAACTCTTTAATGTTACTGATGGAAATTTCTGCTGAGGCAATATTTAAACCCTCTTATGTAACTAAAAATGATGTTTTTGCAAGGGTCAAGATACAGCATTTTACTACATCAATTCTCCTAATTGTTCTTTCAGATAAGTTTACTGTTTTTCAAAACCTATGTTCTAGCCATCATGATTTAATCTAGAGCCCTTCAGCTTGCTGGTAATTTTCAGTAATAGTAATATCTTCATACTGTTGTCAACTAGAACAGGAATCCAGGAAGAGCTTTGCAAACACTTGCTTTATTTTAAAACTCTGCTTGTCAAAGTAATGTAACTACAGAAATGTAATTGATTTCCTCATAGTTGAAGATTTGTGTTAGGAAAGCAAAACAAATTATTATTAAAACAACATCACCATGCTTCCAATGCCATGAATAGGTTTATAAAAATCTAATGAAAGTTCAAAACTATTTTGATAGGGAAAAAAAAAAAAAAAAAAAGCCAATAACACAACAAAACAAAACCAGAATTACAGAAATCTTTAGTTCTGAATTTGAAACAAATTGTCCCTTGTTCCAATATAAGTAACAGCTTGAGATCCCTGCTCAGACAGGTGATCAGAAGGAGTAGATTCTTTTTCCTTGCTAATTTCCAAACATTTCTTCCCCATGACTAATGTGTTATTTCTGAGGAATTGTTTTGGTCCCAAGTAATCAACATTTTTCTGACAGAAAAAATTTCTGGAGTGTTTTCATCATAAATTCATCTTTAAATATTGGTCTTGATTGTCATTTAGATTGAGTGACAGATCCTCTTTCCTTTTCTACTCCCAGCTTTGGCAACAGGAAACGTCTTTGGCTGTGATATGCTTGCTTGTACCACCTCTAAAGAAGCAAGGTTTCTGTGTTGGCTGCTATTTATGCGGCTTTGATGAAAGACTTGAGCTGTCTGAGAGAAGTGACATGGTAAAGCTGGAAAGCAAATCATAGACTTCCATGTGTATCTCCTCCAATGACTGGGCAGGTGATCAGAAAGGAAGTTATTTCCCTGATTGTGTCCTCATCATGCTTCACCATACTACAGGTATAACAAGATAGAAGATTCAGATAGGGGCTGCAATAGTGCTGGTTCACTAAATGTGTATCCTTCTGGACTGGGAGAGAGAATCAGTTTCCTTGCTCATGCTCAGCAAAGCTTTTTGAAGAAGATACGTTAATATGTTTGCTCTAGCATGTTATCAGTTACACAGGAGTATGTAATATACTCCTGCAGTTCTGCTTTCCTTTTGCATTCCTTAAGCTCTGTTGACAGATCAGTTGTTGTCTGACCTTTCTGCTTTTGTCTTGTTTAGTCTCATTAACCTTTGAGGAATGAAGTGGATGGGATGCAGTTAATCAAAACACAGAAAGCCCGAGAAGGTCACTGCAATGCAGTGTGCAGCTGGATTTCATAACAACAGGGTTTGCATTTCCCATCTTGACTGTCACACTCATCTCTTCAACATTTCAGAAGGGAGGAAGCACAAGGTGTTGGTGGTGTCTCCGCTAGTCCCACAGATGCACCGCTCATCTCCTGAACCCATAAGGGCCTTTGCCTTAATCTAACTTATTCTCTTGACATACAAGTGTTCGCTAGATTGCTACAAGTATCCTTGTACCAGTGGGGAGTTATTTTGGGCATACAAGCCAGAAAGGAGCTATAGTTTGCTCAGACAGACCCTCCACTTTGGATGATGTCAGTAATCAGAGCTGCACTGCACTGTGTAGCATGCATTCAATGCCTGCCCCTCCATGGAGACATTGTTGCTGTTAATCTCTCCTGTGCAATGAGTTGCCATAGCTTAGTTTTGATACTGTCACATGAGTCTCTCAGAGGGTGAGGAAGGCTAAGCCTGCACTCCACGGGGTGTTGTAAAACTGTGAAAGCAGGGTCTGGCCCACTCTGCTAATCTGCCTAGTATAAAATAAAAACAGTAGGCAATCTAGAAATGTGGGTGTGTTATACATGCAAGATATGCTTGGTACTGCCTCCCGTGGGGGCTAGAGTAAGTAATTTGCATTAATGATATTTCAAGGACAGTGTTGTGATTATTTAGGTTTGCAGTGTGCATATCTTTATGTTTGGGCATCAAAAATTATAGTTTTATGCTTTGCAGCACATACTAAAAGATGCTCCTTACTGGGATTGGGACCCTTTGGACAAATCTCTGTCTTTCAAGTGATGAGAGAACTGCTGTTGGTAGGATTTCCTTATTTGGATTATTCTGGGGATTCAGTTTAATATCTTTTGGTCAGATTAGCTCCTTAACTGTGATTTCAATGTAGGGGATCTGTCTAAGCATGGCAAAATCAGGAGTTGAGTTACTTTGAAATGTTTAAAAAAAGATTATGGAAGGAAGGACAAGAATGATTGGAGAGTAACAGATTTGAAGGTTTTTTTGGTTCGTGTACTGCCCCTTTAGGAGCACTGGCCATCTTCTGAGGCCATAACAATGTGGTCTGTATCACACCAAGTCACATAGCTGGTGTACCTGAAGTTGTCACACCAAAGTCAGAGAGATTGGATGAGTCAGATAACTTGATATGAGATATGGAAGATCCAGAATTTGCTGTGATGTGGCTTTCTATGTGATTGGTGTTAACACTTATGGGTAGAATCAAGACAAAACTAAAGAAAGCAAGAAAAATCCACAAATGTATTTGTCACTGATTTTATTCTGATGCACCTACTTTCCTAGAGGAGAAGATAATCATTTTAAAAAATGAAGTGTTTGTGAAATAAGAGCTTAACAGCTAAAAATGTGACTTGTATGAGGAAAACTTATGGCAATTTTTTTTTTTTTTTTTTTTTTTTTTTTTTTTTTTTTTACAAGTTGTTTAATTAAACTGGAGCAGTCAGTCCACTGTTGTGGATACACTAGTTTTTCTCACAAAGAGATAAGTGCTTTGTAATCTTACAAGTGAACAACATGTCCAAAAAAGTTTCTGTGACAGTTTAGCTGTTTCAGTATCAAGCATGACCAGTAATTATACCAGTAAAATTTTCTTAGGACAGAAAGCAAATGCTTAGCAAACAGTTGAGCTCGTGGAGGAGCCTCTTGTCTCTCTTATTCTCTGCCATTTACTGGGTGTTGCCATCCAACAGCTCACCCAATAAGATGGGTTGTATGGGCAAGACAGGTTTAAATAGACTGAAGTTGTATGTGGGAGACTGCCTTTGCAATCGTGGAGAGAGAAAATATCCAGTCAGTGACAAGCAGCTAAGAGAGGCAGTCTTTGCATATCTATATCTGGAGAAAAAAAAAAAAAAAAAAAAAAGGCACAAAAAGCCCTGAAATCCTGGCCTTACCCAGACAGTATGGCTATGTTAGAAATTTGCAGCAGCTGAACTAATGCATTGTCAATAAGTTACTATGTTTTACTCCCACAATTCAACCATCTGACATGCATTACCTATTAATGGTGGTTACTAGGCATGTATTGTGAAAATCTACACAATACCTCATTTTAAGTATGTGTAGGATGGATGTAGACTAATGTTGTTTAAGAAGTGTAACAGCTAATTTGTCATACCCTAGCAGGAATGAAAGTAAACACTGGTTAAGGCTGCATTTTGCAGAACTGCTTTAATATTAAAAGAGGAAAAATTCCAGTTCATTACTGTTAATCTTTTTACTTTGAGGGGGGAAAAAAAGAAAAAAGTTTTGTTTAAAGTTCCTAGATGTTTGTTTTAATGATTTCTTATTTCTACATGTGAGTCCTTAACTGTGACAGGGTAATCACAATCTTGAATGAGATCCATGATCTTTCTGAAGTTTTAAAATATATTATATTTACTTTAAAGCAAAGCATAACTTTGTGCCTTTCAACTGTCTATCTCTACAAATAAAGAGGCAGAAAAGCAACAAAAAAAAAAAAAAAAAAAAAAAGGATTTTTGTAGATTTTTTAAAATATATTGAAAGGGGAATAATATTGTTAATGTTGGTTCTTCTATAATGCCTGTATACAGTTTGCAGTTTTTAAAGCATAGCACTTCATGGATGCAGGATGTTGTGTTACAAATGATGCTCCAAAAGTAACATCTTCTACCTTATTATATTGGCCCACGTTGTCAGAGGTGGATGTCAGTGGTATGGCAGTAAAGGTTGAACCTTCCCATCAATATTCCATTACATGTTGCTGTGTGACAGAGGCAGTCTGACAGAATGGCTTCTGACATGGAATTACACATGGAGCAAAGGTATGGAACTGAACTCTTTCATGTGGAAAAAAAAATGGCACTCAATGACATTCACTGATGCTTACTGAGCATTTATGGAGACCAAATAGTGGATATTAGCACAGTAAGGTGGTGAGTGGTGCATTTCAGCAGTGTTCACAGTGATAGTGGAACAACTTTGCTGGTGAATATTTCATGACATGAAGTGTGACGTGAAGGTTCTTGTTTATTGCTGACATAAATTCATGTTATAGCTATGCATTTATGGTGGTGACTACACTGAAAATTAGTGTTTTGTACTCTGAGAAATTCCACTATCAAATAGCATTATTGTGCTCTTTTCATCCACTGTAGTTTCCATGGATGTAGGAGGTATTACTTTCAGAGCGACCTATGTATTTATCCAGTGAAAGTATGTATCCTATTTTGGAGAGAGAAACTATGATAAGAATATTCACCTACCTCACTAGAACATTTATTTTGATACCAGTGGCACTGCTTCTAAGGGTAAGATAAGCAGGACTTGGTGCTCTGAAGATATGCTCTGGCTGTATTGTACTAGATGTTGTATTTTACATTTCCTGCTTACAAAAATTGTGTAGCAAGGCAAAAGTGGACTATAAATGGTGTCAGTCCAGATTCTGAGAACTCGCTGGCATTACTCATGTTCTTTGCCTTAAACACATGCTTTCCTGTGTCCAGTCTGGAACCTGGATCTAGTGAGGGTCTTGGGATTATACAACATCATCCTGATAGAAAATCTGAATTTCATATTAGGAAAATCTCTACAACTTGAATCTAGAAAAGAGAAAACGACTAAGATAAAGGAAGAGCTGTTTGTTTCAAAACAGCTGTATCTGAACACTGTAGAGCCAGAAAATATTTTTCATTGTATGTGTTCATTGTGTGCACTTATGAAATTGAAGCAAGCTGTCAGGCAGGATACAAAGCAAGCATGAACTGCTGATCCCTACTTTTGCAACAGCTTTCATAGCTGATGGCAGCACTGAAGCACTTGGTGAATAATGAGGTGACCCAAAGCAAAGGCAACCATTTCTGGTGCAGTAAATACAGTGAAATAATAGTCTGTTAACTAAGTAAGGAAAATGTTTTTTTTAAATTACTACATTTTCTAGTTTTTCTTTGTGTATGGCATATCTGAGAGCCTTAATCCCTAGAAGGCAGCAAGGGAAGAAGCTCCTCCAAATTGCAGGAATAAAAGAGGCATGAGTGAGAAATGAGAAAACCTTGTTTTAAATACACTTGTACTTAGCTAAACAAGATTTAAGTGGTAAAGATAATATTTATGTCACTAGCTATGTAGTTTCTACCATTTAGTGATGGAATTCTGTGATTTCAGCTGAAACAATTTTGTGCTACCTATGTTGCCATGAAATAACTTGCAGCGTTGAATCTCTTGGGATCCAGTTCGTGTCCTGACATTGCTGGGCACATGACTGACCCAACAGGTAAAGTCTGGGCTGTTGCCCTCCCTGCGGCCGTGATGCAAAGAAAATGTGATACAATCTCTTTAGCTTTCCTGGTAAGGCTATTATCCTGAAACCTAAATATTTCTGGATATAATTAAACAATGTAAGGAGGAAAAAAAAAAAAGTACAGGTCACATTTCTTTGGCTCAGCCAGATCATGTTCATGGGAGTCCATTGTACACTGTGGATTACAGTATTTATCCCACGTGTCACAGAGGAACGTTCACTTCATGTGCCAGGCATGTTTTAGATAGTTTTAAGTCCATATTTTTGTGATCTTCCTATTGCAAGGAAGAAAGTGTTCTCCAGGACTGTGGAACAGTTCATGTTGGCAAAGGAGTGCAAAAGGCGAAGATTCTGCTGTCTTCTGTAAGACCAAGACAAATGTGAGTTTCTTTTACTTACTGATGGAGATGAACAGGTAGTCTGATCTTCAAAGCTGAAGAAGATGAGATAAAAACATCTCATGGTATATAGTGCTGCTGTTCAGCGCTACTTGAGGACACTCCAGACTTCATCAAAAGACTTGTTCAGACGCAGTTGTACAAGGGAGATCAGAGGCAAGACGAACAAGTAGAACACTAAGAGTAGACTAGACAACTGAAAAGAAGTAAGAATTCATGTGATATTCTTCTGAAAGAAGAAAAGGAAGCAGCAAAATATCTACAGTAATATCTGCTGACAGCTTAAATGTTTCCTTCTTCAACAGTACTCATTTTTCACATTCTATTATCATTGCAAGAAGTGTCTTTTCTCTTTTTGATTGTCCTTTCTTGCCAGTAAAGCTCAATGCCATCTATCCAGGATGAACTAAGAGGATGCACGTCGCTTGCTGACATAATACTCCACATTTTGCCAGCATTTTAGACCTGCCTCTTGATTTCTCTTGCATCCCCTTTGATCCCATACACATGTGCAATATCTGGTAAGGCATTTGAATGGTTTTTTGTCTTTTTTTTTTTTTTAAATACTACTCTTCTCCCTGAAGTGTGACGCTTCAGTGCAGTGTGATGTGATCACCCCTGGAGGATCACTGTATTGTCTTCAAACCTTTGTGATTGTGTTCCAGTATTTAGGTAAATGTTTCAGTTTCTACTAGTCTTCCTGGTACTGCCCCTGTTCTAAGGCATGCTCTTCAGCAGCACATTTAATAATATTGTGATTTTTGTATTTCAAATTTTCAGAATTTTTTTTCTGATATATGAAAATGCTGAAAGGGAAAACAAATTGCTACCTCTTACGATGTTAGCTCTTCTGTATTCAATTAGTTACAGCAGTCCATAGACTATTTTATGTTTAAAAGTATTTATCAGCTGTGGATCATATATCAAAATAATTCACATTTGGAAAAATATCCCCTTTATCCAAAACCATGATTTGGAGATATGAAAAAGTTGTTTTTTCTTTTTTTTTTCTTTTTTTTTTTTTCCATCTTACTTGATATTGTTTAGAATTTATAGATAATATTTTTGACCCCATCAGGACCTCTTCAGGTAGTAGATAGCCAGGATGATGTATGTGACTTGAGAAGATTGTGTGCGGTCAAGAAGTTCAATTTCCAAAAGGCCTGCAGGGGATAAAGCTAAGATTTTTAAGGAGACTGCAAGACAGCAGTGTCAAGATATTGAATTTTAATGAATATAGAGCTATCTTGGATGATACCTGTCCTAGTTTACCCCCTATCAATTATGACTAAGTAATGTTTGCTGTATCTTCTTTAGACCGTTAAGACTCCTTGTTAACACTTGTTAACACTAGGTGCTTAATGTCACTTCATCGGAGTTTTCATATTTTGAAAAATACATTTGCATTTTAAAACTGAATTTTTTTTGTGGATATGTTTGTTTGCATAACTGAATACATATATATGTACATATAGGAATTACTTATTGGAACCATTCTGATCTGCATATATCAAAAGTCAGGATCCTCACTTAGTGTTTCCTTAAAAAATTGGATTTTGAGATTATATTTCAAAAATACTTTTCCCTCAGTACATTGTTCAAGGACGGAGTAAGAAAAGATGAAATAATGAAAGAGCACTTTTTTTTTTTTTTTTTTAGTCAATATCGTAGCGAACTGGAATAAGCAACTCCACAAATGGAGTGTAAAATGTCTTGAGTGGAGATCTTTTTTGTACTTATAAATTAGTTCATGTGGGTGTTAAATACACGATCTACCAGAACCATGTTTTCAGAACAGGTCTATTAATTTCAATATTTCTCTGAAAAATAAAATTCCTAAAGAGAGTAATTTTTACCAGAAGTTCATTTGTTCATAAACTCTGCTGCATCCTTTTTTTAAACAGTTTCAAGATGAGGGTGTAAAATCCTGTGGAACATCACATTTTAAGTAAACTTGTTTAATTTATTTATACTTGTGTGAAATATCTTTATTCCATTACCTTTATCAGAGGTATTCAGAAGCATGTCATAACAGAACCTTCTCATAACCTTGGGGCTGTGTGGCATTTGCACCCATCATGGATGTTCAGTGCTGTGGTGAGGTACAGGACAGAGTCTTGGAAACAGTTCTTAGTGTTGTCTGTTGTGAAGTCCTAACAACACAAGAGAATATTCTACAACCCACAGAACATAAGTCCCAGAATGTTCAGAAGAGGCTTAAGGATTTTATTGTAATTTTCAGTGAAATTAGGAAGGAGTCTTTCGGGCTTTCAGTTTCAGCTTTTTTTTCCATGTCTGCATTTTATTCCCCTCTTAGCATGTCTGTCCTTTTTGAGATCTGTCAGATACTACAGTGCAGTAAATGAGGAAAAAAAAATTTAAATAGGCTATATTCTAGTGCACAAACCAGGGGATGCACGAAAATGGAAATCTGTGTCCCAGGCCCTGAATTCTTTGACTGTGTTCCTTATACCTAAATCCTGCTTTTCTACTTCAAAGGAGGCTCTGAAGTGATTATTAGTATTCCTTTGGTATAATTTTAGTATTCCAGTGAAATTTCATCTCAGGTAAGTAAATTCTCCTTTAACAAATATCCTGAGCCATTGCAGCTGGATGTGAAATTCTTTCCTCGCTATCTGTTCTTAGGTTTTGAGAGTGATAGCTATCTAGAGACAATGCTGCAGTGGGTGAGAGTGCTACTTACGCATTTTTTCCTTCACTCATTTCCCAAGGCAGTGGTGATTTTGATTTCTTTGTTTTTGCAATGGTTTTGATACTTTGTTTAAAGGTATTTAAATAGTATAACATTTTAAATATTCTGTATGTACTAAGATTGGCAATTCTATGAGTATTTTAACTGTGAAACAGTGGTTACTGTCAAATTTAAATAATATTCCTTCTGTTTCCTGTTGGAAGAACAGTTGCATTTCTCTATGAGGCATAAATAGGAAATGATAGAGTGAAAGTAGGTGGCAAACGGGAGAGGAAATTTAGGTTGTACATAAAGCAGGATAACTAAGTTTATTTTTTCTCATTTCTGAGACTTGGTGCACAATACATAGGTTTACTTGACAGACTGATGATTTTGCTGTTATTATTCTCTCGATTTATTAATATAGTTGATCAAAATAAAAGGTGTTTTCTTTGAATATAGTATAAAATTTACTTTACTGGAATGATAATCAAATATAAAATCAAGGAAACAATTTCTTGTTGAGTTATGAACTTCTTTGTGCTCTAGAAAAGAGCAGTAAAAAATCTTGGAACACATTCCATGTGGAATAACGTAACTTTAGCCAAAGCAAGTTCATTAAAAATATTATTAGTTATGATGAAGTTTAATGTTAATTTTTTTTTTTTGTTTTATAGTAAATGACAAGCCTTTGTTTATTTTTAAATACTTTTTATCTTTGTAGATTATATCCATGTGTGATTACCAGAAATGCTCTAATGTTAGGACCTTTCTGATCTTTCTGTACTGTTTAATTAATACAAAGGATAGAGGTATGAATTTCAGCTATTTTATTCCTCGAACATTCTATAGTTTTGTTCTTAATATGTAACAAATTCAAAGTTAAAGATGACTAGGACGTAGCTATAATCATTATTTTCATTATGAGTTCAGACAAACTTTTTGTCATTTTCATTGTGTAAGACAAAGTAAATGCTAACAAAATAAAAGCACATAATTAAAAACAATTAATGCTGTTGTTCACCCTATATTCAATTATACTCATTCATGAAATGCTCCTTAGTAACTATCATCCCTCTATAAATAAGTTGTTATGCTACAGAATTCAATAGGAAGCCACATACAAGGGCTTGTACCATCTTCAGTCAGAAGAAAGTAATTCTCTCTGATTAAGAACTTGTTCCGTTGATCCTTGGCATGCCACGTATAGTTTTGAACGCACCTTTGAATGTTTCTTAAAGGAAGAAAATCCATTAAATAAATATATATTAATAAAACATCTTTGTTTTATGGGAATGTAAAATAAAAATCACAGCAAAGAGTGCTCTGATATTGAAAGGGGAATGGAAATGCTGACACCTGGAAGCTCCTGTTTTTTCAATGATACAGTAATAAATCACTCCACTTTACTATTAAAAAGAAGCTGCCACGCCTGTAAATCCACTGTGGGTACTAAATTCAAATCATTTATCTTCCTACATAGATAACAAATCCAATTAGGACACATCAGACCATGATGCCTTATTAATAAGGCTCCAATTTTACCTTGAATAATAAAAAATTTGTATTTATTTAAAATACCAGAAAGTGAGTAGAGATTAAAAGACAACATCTGTAAGTATAGTTTGAGTGAAATTCCAATGTATATTTTGAATTCATATATAATATACATATGAACTCCCATATAATCATGACCTGTTTTTATTTAAAATAGCTATTTTTTTTGTTTCAGTTCTCTTGTGAAGATAATTAAGTCTATTGTAAGACAATCACTGAGGGATCTTAGAATAGTCTGAGCTTATACTTACAGGTGAAACACCTTTGAGCATTTTTTCCCAGAATAATATTTTCAAAAGAACTATGCAGTATCTTCTAAATGCTATAGAGTGTGCTAACTTGATATTAGTCTGTTAGATTACTGTGATGTTTCATTAATAATGTGGAAAGACCTGAATCAGCTTTTAATTAGTGGTGAAGGTGAGAATATAAATGGTAGTCAGTCCTGGCTTGTTGATGAAGCCATTGAGTGGTTTGACTGTATGATTGGGAGGATACAGAAACTTATGCAACGAAGTCTCCCCAGTGGTGCTTTTGTATAAATCCAACTACAGTGGTAGTGACTGAGAATTTCAACATATTTTTGCATTGGAAAACTGAATTTGCTTTTAACCTTTTGAAATTAATAATTCTAACAAATTCATTTTTGAAGTTGTAAACACTTTAGGAAGTGTACGTTATTTATTATTAGTAGAAAATCAACCTCTTTAATAGGTTTTGTGTATTTGCAGCTTAGCTAATTTATTTGGGAAACATTATGCACAGTCAGTATTTTGGTTTAAGGCTCTTATAATTTAAATAGTAAATAATACTCAATATTCTTCAGTCATCGTTTTCCATGCCTTTGTGATTTTTAATGAGTCAACTTTATTTTTCGCTTAGAAACCTTGCAAAATATAACTCAGAAAAATTTCCATTTCTAATTTGAAAAAATTGAATAAAAACTGGCGTTTTTTCTTCACACAGATAAAAGGAAGGCAGAGAAGAGAAAAGGGACTGTTTAGGCCTCACTATACATATACACGTATGAGGAAGAGATAGTCATTATGCCTGAAAACATCCCATCACATTGATGCCCAACAACGATTCTTTTCTTTTCTTATGAGAAGTTAAGAAAATCTCCTGTAAAGCACTAAGGATATTACCTTCGTACCAGAGTGTCAGCATCAGCATACTTTCCTCTTCAGTGACAATATATGGAAGAAGTATTTTGATGCTGTATTGTGCATAAATTCTGCATTTCTGTGATTGGTTGCTTTACATTAACATTTACAAAGTTCATACCAACAACCATCATAAAATAAACTTGTTGGTATTATGGTATATATCTCTAGGGATATCAAACTGTATATCACTTAGCATTTTGTATTAGTTTTATTAAATATGCATACCTATTAATATTTTACTGTGTCATTTAGTTGGATG